GAGTCTCCTGCCTCAGCCTCCCAAGTAGCTGGGACTACAGGCGCCCTCCACAACGCCCGGCCATTTTTTGGTTGCAGCCACCATTGTTGTTTGGCGGGCCCGGGCTGGGGATTTGAACCCACCACCTTAGGTGTATGTGGCTGGCGCCTTAGCCGCTTGTGCCGTGTGTGCCTTTTTTCATCCAGTAAGTGTATCAAATCCAGTACTCACTCAGTAAAGTACAACAGATACAGTTTTAGCTGAATGAAGAGCTAAGACAAGAAAAGCTCAAGTTTTGGGATGGGCAAATATGGTTCTGATCCTAGTGCTACCATTTTCTAGTTGTGTGGACTTATTTATGCAAATTACCTCTACAGCCTCAATTTCTCCATCTAAGAAAACACAGCATTTCCTCCTAGGGCTGTCAAGAAGTTCATATAAAGAGTAATGCATATAAAACCCTTAGCACACAATGCATAATGAAAAGAAAAACCTCAATATATTAGCTGCCACTATAAAGGTAAAATGATTATTCATGGAATAACTGATTTGGCACTTCAGGTTCCAAGGTTACTTACTCCACGACCAGCATACAAATAATTCCCCAACAGGGCCCCAAATCCTCAAGTCCAACCTGGCACACTTTGAACATCACCCACACTGCCTCAGTTCCACTCTGTACACTTCAGACCATCCTTTACTTCTCAGATGCTTTTTCCACCTTGCTCGGCCTTTCATGCTCAGGCCTTGGAACCCCCGCCTTTCGGCCCCTCCCTATTTCACCCCGACCCGATCCCACTCAGCCCCCGCCCTCCACCCCCGTCTCCTCCAGGACCAAGGCCTAATTTGTCTTGACGTCCTTCCTTCCCCAAAGTTGAAGAAAGCTCCTACCCAGATACTCATAGTCCGGTAGGGCTAGACGCTCGGGACTCAGCATCCTTTGACCCAGGTAGCTTCAAATCACCAGTTCTCTCAGGCTTCCGGAACCCGAGCTGCAGGCTCTCTTCGTTGCCATGGTACCCACGCCGCGGGTGCGGAGGCCGTAGGCGGAGTGGGTGTCCCACAAACAACCTCCGTGTAGCAAAACCAAGCTGGCCAGGCAAGTTCCGGGAGCCGGCGCTTTGCGGCAGTCGAGGGTTTTTTTGGACTCTCATTTTTGAGGATTTGGTTTTAGAGGAATCTGATGCGGAGCACTCTTTTGAATCGGTCGTATTTATTGGTGCCAAAAATTACTGTTAACCGTCCTTATCCGCAATTTTTGAATTTCATAACTGCGCCTGCTTTCTGCACCTTTATCCTGACTCACAGTAATAGCCCACGAACCCTCCATAAACACTTAGCATCTGATTACCTATTTTTATCTCTTTAATATTTACTATCTTAAATTACTATAAAATGCTTTCACATATGTATACCTTGACTGTTTCTAGACGTCATGGAGGTGTCTTTTCTGCCTACGACAGGGCTGGACACACAAAAGGTGCTTATTAAGTTTTTTGTGAGATAATTGCCATTTCCTGTCAAATTCCTCTTTATCTTTAGTTTTGTATTCCCATCCCTTACTATGTGGTAGTCTTCCCACATTTTTTCCTTTTTCCTACATTTTTTCTTGAGGGGAAGTAGAAACTAGGGCACCTATTATATTCCCCACCCCCACTTCCTCAATTGCTCTCTTCTCCTTTAAGAGAGAATATTCATTGGTTTTCAAGTTCCCAAATCTATCTCTTTTTGCTCCTTTCCAACAGCAGGCCAGAGGTCTGTGGCACTTGTCACAGTTCAAACCTAGCAGAAAAAGCCCCTCTGCTTGCATGTTTTTAGTTAGTGCCCTTCCCCTACAACAAGGTGATGTTTTGTGAAAAAGAAAAAACAAAAATCAAGCTATCAAAGGAATGCCTGGGAAACCAGTAGACCACCTACACTGGGAGGAAAAGGAAGGAGGAGGTTTTTCTCTTTGTGTTCTGAGTGCCCTATTCTTAGTCTCCTTCAGAAAGGAGCCTCAAACCTCCTAATTCTCCCTTTTCCTTAAAATTGTATATGTGTCTCAATTCTAGGCTCCTGTGAGTCACTCTGAACTTGTATGTGGTAAGGATAAAGAGACAGAGCCAAAGAAGAAGCAGGGTTTACTATCTTGAGGTAATGAATTTACTAATTTGGTATTTGCTGTGAAGTCCTGCAAATTTGATTTTAAAATGCTTGCCCTCTTCCCTGCTCCACCCACCCCATGCAGCTTGAGGGTATAGAAGTTTCATACCTTCCATACCTGTGTTCTATTACTCTATTGTTAATAAAGTAATAGGATAGTAATTATCAAGGATAATTTTACTTGATTACCAAGCAACCTGAAGCTATTTGCAGATAATTTCATTTGTCCTCATAAAAACTTTCTAAAGCACTTCTCCCTTTTCTAAGTAGGGGAATTGAGGCACAAGTCATATGCTTCTCTAGCATCATTCATCCAATCAGAGGGAGCGCTAGAACTGCATCTCAGCTATGCCAACATCCAAGATAGTGGTCTGACCACTAAACCACACAGCTTCTTTTTTAAGGTTTGTTGGCTTGGTTTTTATTTATTTATTTTTCCTGTAGCTCTTCCCTGCTAGCAACTGGAAGCTCCCAGATAAGAGAAAATAATTTTGAGTCCAAGCTGAACATTTGACATCCTCTTATTTCCGAAGCACTACCCTGGGTCTTGGAGGGTGCTGTTGCTGGGGTCTGTGTGGTGGATCTGGGAACCAGCCCCAAGAGTATAGCTTTGTTTGGGCATTAACCCATTTGTGGTTATAATAATGATAAGTTTCAGCACCAGTGGCGCCCGACTGTTAATGACTCAAAGAAAGCTAAATAAGAACAAGATGTCATCTCTGGAGCAATTTGTAGGTTTTTCCTACTGCTCCATAAAAATCCTAAGGACCCTTGTATTTAAAGTCACTCTTTGACTCTGAAAGTCCTGAACATTCTATTGAGGAAGACTTAGAAAAGGATAGGAGGTTGCTAGACTAAGACTTCAAGAAAATTTTCAGTTTCACAGAAATAACAGGTGGCCTTACTACTAATAGAATTTCTGACTATTTGTATTTTTCTTCTTCTTCTTTTTTTTTTTTTTTGAGACAAAGTGTCACTTAGTTGCCCACCGTAGAGTGTTGTAGCACCACAGTTCACAGCAACCTCCACCTCTTGGTCTTTAGGCAATTCTCTTGCCTCAGCCTCCTGAGTAGCTGGGACTACAGGCGCCCACCACAACGCCCGGCAATTTTTTTGTTGCAGTTTGGCCAGGGCCAGGTTTGAACCCACCACCCTCGGTATATGGGGCCAGCACCCTACTAACTGAGCCACAGGCACCACCTGTGTATTTTTCTTCTTTAGGCTTTTCTATATTCTTGAATTTTCCATAATTGGCATGAACTATAGCCTGAAAAGAAATATAAATAAGTGGCATGAAAATTCTTTTTTTTTTTTTTGAGACCAAGTTTTACTTTGTCACCCTCCATAGAGTGCAGTGGCATCACAGCTCACAGCAACTTCAAACTCTTGGGCTCAAGTGATTCTCTTAGCTCAGCCTCCCAAATAGCTGGGACTACAGGCACCCACCACAACACCCGGCTATTTTTAAAGATAGGGTCTTGGCTTTGCACCAATAGCATAGTGGTTACGGCGCCAGTCACATTTACTGAAGTTGGTGGGTTCAAATCTGGCCTAGGCCAGTTAACCAACAATGACAGCTGCAAAAAATAGCCGGGGCATTGTGGCAGATGCCTGTGGTACCAGCTACTCAGGAGGCTGAAGTGAGAGAATCGCTTGAGCCCAAGAGTTTGAGGTTGCTATGAGCTGTGATGGCACAGCACTCTACCAAGGGTGACATAGTAAGACTCTGTCTCAAAAATAACATATAATAAAATAAAAAATAAAGATGGGGTCTTGCTGTTGCTCAGGCTGGTCTCCAACCTGTGAGCTCAGGCAATCTACCCACCTGAGCCTCCCAGAGTTCTAGGATTACTTACTGCATGAGTCACCCAGCCCACCATGTGTTTGTTTTTCTTAAGAAGCAGCCACTATCGGTCAGCGACCAGGCAAGAGGACTGCTTGAGTTGGAGATTGCTGTGATCTATGACACCACGGCACTCTACCCAGGGTGACAGCTTGAGACTCTGTTTCAAAAAAAAGCAGCAGCCACCACTTTTAAATTTCTCTTGTGTCATACATTATGTGATAATAGATTTTGGCAAGATACTGGTTGAGGAGAAAATTTTTCAGTGAAACACACTATATTAGTCTTAAAAAGAAGAGAAATAATGCATTCTTGTTAAAATCAAGGGTATTCTTGGTGGCACCTATGGCTCAAAGGAGTAGGGTGCCGGCTTCATATGCTGGAGGTGACAGGTTCAAACCCAGCCCTGGCCAAAAACTGCAAAAAAAAGAAAAACTCAGGGGTATTCTTGTAACCCTGTTAAATGCTAAGGAAAGAAAAAATGTCAGCTTCAATCTAAATGAACTTTTCAGGTTCTTAAACTGTCATATCTTTCTTTCTTTCTTTTTTTTTGTATATGGGGCCAGTATTTGAGCCACAGGCACCACTCCATATTTCTAAAAAAATTACCAAAACAAATAATGATCCAACTAAGTCAATAACTCAGAAGACTACTCCTGAAAAGAGGCAAGTGATATGAAATTGATCAAAACAGAGCATGAGATGTTAAAGGCAATACTATAGCATGAGTACTGCAAGCATCAAACTCAGAATAATAGCAAACCTTACATAAGAAAGACTATATAGGCCAGGCATTGTGGTTCACATCTGTGAGCCATAAATACTAGTACTTTGGGAGGCTGAGGCAGTTGGATTGCTTGAGCTCAGGAGTTTGAGACCAGCCTGAGCAAGAGCAAGACCCCATCTCCACTAAAACTAGAAATACCTAGGGTGACAGATTAAGACTCCATCTCCAAAAAACAAACCTTAAAAAATAAAAAAAAAAAAGAATATGTGGAGAAAATAATTTATTGGATAATAATTTCTGATTTTATAAAAAATTAAGAGACATCTCTGGCTCTCCAGAGGACCGATTAAAAGATTGATAGGGAAGAAAATCCTCTTTGGAACTGAGACTACAGAAAAGCAAACACAGATGTATTAGTTTTTTTTTTTTTTTTTTTTTTTT